GCCCCGAGAGTCGGGAGGCTCTAAACAATGTGACTTTACTAGTCGCGCTTCACCACGTGAGGTGCGACGTCGAAGCCCATTTGGATCGCGGAGATCGATGCTGTCCGTTTAACGCGTGCATCACGGCTCCGAAGGTCCGAATTTACCTCAGTTCGATGTCGGGGCTCGGAATAGTCTGTAGACGACTTCCGTTCCTGGCGGGGTGTTGTGCTCGGTAGAGCAGCGTCGTGCTGCGATCTGTTGAGACTCAGCCCTACGCCAGGTGATTCGTCCGAGGACGATGACCGACGATGCGTGCGCGCGCGCATGCATACACGCGGCTCAGACGCGCCGGGGACTGTCTCGTTTACACCGTTGCTGTGTTCGACGACTATTATCATTATACACACACATAATAAACCTATTATGTGTGTATGTGTAAGATAGTGGACGACAACAATAACAGCGGCGGTTGTAGACGAGACAGTCTTCGACGTTTGACGTTTGTCGATTAATACACGAACGGGACGCGGCCACCGTTCGTTTCGTTCGATTCGTTAATACACGAACAGGATAATTCGACTTAACCGCCCGTATTAAAACAAATCCGTACGGACGTGGGCGGCGGTGAAGCGCTGGCCGCGCCCCGCGCGACCAGCGCTCCGCGCAGATACGGAATTAATACACGAACAGGATACCGATTTTAATACACGAACTGGCACGAACTGTTTAGGTTACTACGTACGTCTCGTACACAATACACGGGCTGCTTTCGCTACAAACGCTAGGTACCTTCCTTAATAATAACTAACTCGCGTTATGTCCCCTTATGTCTATGCTATGACTACATCGTAACAATATCATGTGTTACACCACTCGTGTCTGTCACATTTATATACGCATTACACTCGTCGACTCGACCGACCAACCAACCAACCAACCAACCAACCAACCAACCAACCAACCAACCAACCAGGAACCAGACGACAACACACACAGAGAGAGAGGACGTTTTCCTGTTCGTGTATTAATTCCGTATCTGCGCGCCGAGCGCGGCCAGCGCGCGTCCCACATCCGTACGGATCGAGAGAAAATTATATGTTTTAATACGGGCGGTTAAGTCGAATTATCCTGTTCGTGTATTAACGGATCGAACGAAATGAACGGCGGCCGCGCGTCCCGTTCGTGTATTAATCGAACTTCGGCGACGACAACAAACTCCGAAGACTCTCTCGTCTACAACCGCCGCTGTTATTGTTGTCGTCCACTATCTCACACATACATATATAGGTATAGTGTATGTATAATGATGACAGTCGTCGAACACAGCAACGGTGTAAACGAGACGTCGTCCCCGGCGTCTGAGCCGCGTGTGCGTGCGCGTGTGTGTATACGAATCACCTGGCGTAGGGCCGAGTCTCTTTTTTCATGTTTCATTCCCGACCCCGACACCGTTCGTGTATTAAAATCGGTATCCTGTTCGTGTATTAATTCCGTATCTGCGCGCCGAGCGCGACCAGCGCGCGTCCCACATCCGTACGGATCGAGAGAAAATTATTTGTTTTAATACGGGCGGTTAAGTCGAATTATCCTGTTCGTGTATTAACGGATCGAACGAAATGAACGGCGGCCGCGCGTCCCGTTCGTGTATTAATCCCCGTATCCCGTTCGTGTATTAATCGTGTATTAACCCCCCCCCCCCCCCCCCCCCCAAAAGCCCCAGGAAGCCCCAGGAACCCCCCCCCACCTGAACTGTACACTGTACGCGACGCAAGCAGACAGGCTCAGCCTGTCCGCCTGTCCACGATCGCATCTATTCTCGGTTTCGCTTCGTTGTCACGCGACTCGATGAATATGTACACACGTACAATATGATTCGTACAGCGGTGATGTGGTGTAATTGTGTTGTTGTGTGGTGTTGTGTGTTGTGTTCTGTGGTGTTCCGTGTAATCGTGTCGTCGTTGCGGCGCGCGCGGCGCGCGCACATAGAGAATGCCGGCGGGCAGCAAGCAGCCACAAGTGTTGTTTGTTGTGCGCGGTTCTCATATGTGCTCGCAGTGTGCGTCCGACGCGGAGAAACGAGAGCGAACAAAAACGGACAAACATATACGCTATACGCAAAACAATATTATTGAACTGTGCCGGCCGACGGAACGTGTGTTTGCTCGTGTCCGTTATAAATCGGTCGATCCTATATAAAAACAATGAACGTGGCGACGGTACGACAACGCCGGCGCTCGGACGCGCGACGTGTTGCCCGTCGACGCCATCGTCACGTTCGATCTTTGCGCATCATACATTTCATGTGGGTGAGGCGCTCTACAACCACCGGGCGGAATCGTGTATGGTTTCACCGACCGTGTAAGCTGATCTTATACAAACGTGAAATCGTCTCGGTACGAACGTTCCATCAAGGGGCCGATCCGCCTCCCTCTATCCAGAGAGAGACGTGAGCGCCCTCAGAGCGACCGCAGGCGCGTCTCTATCGCGTTGAGATACACGCGCGTAGAGACGTTCGCGGACCGCGAAACTCTAAACACTCAAATTTCGAGCTCGCCCCAGTGCGTTTCGCGTTTCCATAAAAAGATCGCGTGCGCTTCGGGGTCGTCGAGTATTGTGTGTCGGCGTGCGCTAGCGCTCGCGCCGGCTTCAACTCTCAACAAAGAAGCTCCCTGGTTGATCCTGCCAGTAGTTATATGCTTGTCTCAAAGATTAAGCCATGCATGTCTCAGTGCAAGCCGTATTAAGGCGATACCGCGAATGGCTCAATATATCAGTTTTGGTTCCTTAGATCTTACTCAGTTACTTGGATAACTGTGGTAATTCTAGAGCTAATACATGCAATCAGAACTCTGACCAGTGATGGGATGAGTGCTTTTATTAGATCAAAACCAATCGACGGAGGGCCTCGCGTCCGAAGTCGTTAATTTTGATGAATCTGGATAACTTTTGCCGATCGCATGGTCCAGTACCGGCGACGCATCTTTCAAATGTCTGCCTTATCAACTTTCGATGGTAGTTTCTGCGACTACCATGGTTGTCACGGGTAACGGGGAATCAGGGTTCGATTCCGGAGAGGGAGCCTGAGAAACGGCTACCACATCCAAGGAAGGCAGCAGGCGCGCAAATTACCCACTCCCGGCACGGGAGGTAGTGACGAAAAATAACGATACGGGACTCTTACGAGGCCTCGTAATCGGAATGAGTACACTTTAAATATTTTAACGAGGAACAATTGGAGGGCAAGTCTGGTGCCAGCAGCCGCGGTAATTCCAGCTCCAATAGCGTATACTAAAATTGTTGCGGTTAAAAAGCTCGTAGTTGCATTTGTGCGCCGCGCTGTCGGTGCACCGCATCCGCGGTGATACTGACACGTCTGCGGAGCATATCGTCGGTGAGCCGTCGGTTAAACGTCGGTTCAATATCAAAATCCTATCGCGGTGCTCTTCAATGAGTGTCGAGGTGGGCCGACAATTTTACTTTGAACAAATTAGAGTGCTCAAAGCGGGCTCAAAATGCTGCTTGAATATTTCGTGCATGGAATAATAGAATATGATCTCGGTTCTATTTTGTTGGTTTTCAGAACTCCGAGGTAATGATTAATAGGGATAACTGGGGGCATTCGTATTGCGACGTTAGAGGTGAAATTCTTGGATCGTCGCAAGACGAACATCAGCGAAAGCATTTGCCAAAGGTGTTTTCATCAATCAAGAACGAAAGTTAGAGGTTCGAAGGCGATTAGATACCGCCCTAGTTCTAACCGTAAATATGTCATCTAGCGATCCGCCGACGTTACTACAATGGCTCGGCGGGCAGCTTCCGGGAAACCAAAGATTTTGGACTCCGGGGGGAGTATGGTTGCAAAGCTGAAACTTAAAGGAATTGACGGAAGGGCACCACCAGGAGTGGAGCCTGCGGCTTAATTTGACTCAACACGGGAAATCTCACCAGGCCCGGACACCGGAAGGATTGACAGATTAACAGCTCTTTCTTGATTCGGTGGGTGGTGGTGCATGGCCGTTCTTAGTTGGTGGAGCGATTTGTCTGGTTAATTCCGGTAACGAACGAGACTCTAGCCTGCTAAATAGGCGTCGTCATTTAGGTGTGCGTGGCTCCGTCACGCAACTCACTGGCGACGTATTAAAATTCTTCTTAGAGGGACCGGCGGCTTCGAGCCGCACGAGATTGAGCAATAACAGGTCTGTGATGCCCTTAGATGTCCTGGGCCGCACGCGCGCTACACTGAAGGAATCAGCATGTTCTCCCTGGCCTAGAGGCCCGGGCAACCCGCTGAAACTCCTTCGTGCTGGGGATTGGGGTTTGCAATTATCCCCCATAAACGAGGAATTCCTAGTAAGCGCGAGTCATAAGCTCGCGTTGATTACGTCCCTGCCCTTTGTACACACCGCCCGTCGCTACTACCGATTGAATGATTTAGTGAGGTCTTCGGACCGACACGCGGTGGCTTCACGGCCGTCGGCGTTGCTGGGAAGTTGACCAAACTTGATCATTTAGAGGAAGTAAAAGTCGTAACAAGGTTTCCGTAGGGGAACCTGCGGAAGGATCATTAACGTTGTTTGCGCGAGACGTGTGCCTAGTGCGCGGTCCGAGCGTGATATGAATAACGTAAATAATCTCCACACCTAGGGATCGGCACGCTGTTGTACTACTGCCGCAGTACTGCTACTGCTGTTGTTGTACGGCGGCGTTGATCCCGCGTCGCGTCCTCGCACGGCGCGCAGACGGGCAACGAAATCCGCGCCCCGAGCGCCGTCGGACGCGTTCGTTAACGAAACGAATATTTCAACGATCCATCACGACGCGGTGGGATCGGACAATATTATTTGTCGTTATTTACGATTATTATTATTTTTTTTTTTTATGTAACAACAACAACGATTGCAATCCATGCGGTTGTGGTTGGGTTCGTTTGGAGGCTTGCACTTCAACGGGCCGAAACTATTACCCTGGACGGTGGATCACTTGGCTCGCGGGTCGATGAAGAACGCAGTTAATGCGCGTCATAGTGTGAACTGCAGGACACATTTGAACATCGACATTTCGAACGCACATTGCGGTCCGTGGAGACACATCCAGGACCACTCCTGTTCTGAGGGCGGCTGTATAAAATACATATGCCACATTGCGTGCGTAACGCGCGCTGATGACGGTTCAACGAGCGTCCGTGTGTGTGCACGGGCTATCGTTGTCCGTTCAAATATAACGCGTATGCGTGTATGTAAAACGTTTGATCGTGTCATCGCGTATGAATCATTTGTATCGGACGGTCGCGTGCGTAGCCGCGCGTATCGGACGTTCAGAAGATAGCGACGCGCGCCGGACAGGCGCGCCCGCGACTCTACGGTGCTCATTCGATTGAACATTGGGGGTTGCGTGGCGCGCGCCTGCTCGGGCGCCGTACGCGGTCTTCGGTCCGTTACGATTGCGGCTGCGCGTCTATATACGCGAACACGTTTCGTGCGATTGTACGAATACGTATATAAAAGAGATGACCACGTATCGACGATGTTGAGAGTAGGCGGACTCGACGTCCGAAGAGCGCATCGACGCCGTCGTCGTACCCGGCTAGTTTCGGGGCGTTCGGTTGCGACGTCGTATCGCTGACGGATATCGCGTCTGCCTCATTTTTTTATCGTTGGCCTCAGATCAGGGAGGATCACCCGCCGAATTTAAGCATATTAGTAAGCGGAGGAAAAGAAACTAACCAGGATTTCCTTAGTAGCGGCGAGCGAACAGGAAAGAAGCCCAGCACTGAATCCCGCCGTTGTTCAGGCGGCGGGAGATGTGGTGTTCGGGAGGTTCCGCTTTCTCGTCGCGATCTCTCCTGTCCAAGTTCGTCTTGAACGGGGCCGTTTTCCCGTAGAGGGTGCCAGGCCCGTAGCGACGGAGGACCGCGGCGAGAGGGACTCTCCTTAGAGTCGGGTTGCTTGAGAGTGCAGCCCTAAGTGGGTGGTAAACTCCATCTAAGGCTAAATATTACCGCGAGACCGATAGCGAACAAGTACCGTGAGGGAAAGTTGAAAAGAACTTTGAAGAGAGAGTTCAAGAGTACGTGAAACCGTTCAGGGGAAACTGCGAAACTCGAATGAACGAACGGAGAGATTCATCGTCATTCCTCGGCGTACGGACGCGCGCCTCGATGCCTTCGGTCGTTTCACGGCCGTTGGCACGGGTCGCGTCCGTCGACGTCCGAGGACGTCGTGCACTTCTCTCTTAGTAAATACATCGCGACCCGTTCGATGTCGGTCTAAGCGCCGTACGGGAGCCCCGTTGCCCCTTCGCGGGGGTAGGTGGGACCGCGACGGTGGCCGACCGGCCGTCGGACGGTAGTTCTGACGAATCGCGCACGCGTTCTATACGCGTCCGGCCCGACGCAAGTCAACGTCGTATCATACGTCTACGCCATAGTGCGGACGTGTGTGCGGCGCGTCTGGTGTCGCAGCCGTGCTGTCTCGGACTGTGCGCGTCTCTGTCTGCGATGATTCAGTTTCGGGCACTCGCAGGACCCGTCTTGAAACACGGACCAAGGAGTCTAGCATGTATGCGAGTCATTGAGACAATAAAACTGAAAGGCGCAACGAAAGTGAAGGCGCGCGCTCGCCGCGCGCTCAGGGAGGATGGAGCTTCGATCTAGGTCGTACTCTCGCACCCGAGGCGTCTCGTTTCCAATCCGTGAATGCAGGCGCGCTCTGAGCATAAATGCTGGGACCCGAAAGATGGTGAACTATGCCTGGTCAGGTCGAAGTCAGGGGAAACCTGATGGAGGACCGTAGCGATTCTGACGTGCAAATCGATCGTCGGAACTGGGTATAGGGGCGAAAGACTAATCGAACCATCTAGTAGCTGGTTCCGTCCGAAGTTTCCCTCAGGATAGCTGGCGTCGATTTGAACAGTCTCATCCGGTAAAGCGAATGATTAGAGGCATTGGGGCCGAAACGACCTCAACCTATTCTCAAACTTTAAATGGGTGAGTACCCGGCTTACTCGAACGATGAAGCCGGAGATCTG